AATAAAGAATTTCACAAGTGTTCTCATATTTTCTTAAAATCCCCAATTTCTAGGGTTCCATCAAAAACCCAAACAACTCCCATTTTATGATGAAAGTTTATCAAAACCTACTTTAAGAGGACATAAATACAAGATCTTAAAGGTAAACAAAATAACCTTTGAGTCCTTAAACTTCCCTTTGAGAAATTCCATCATTTTGAATCCAAAAACCAAAATTTTGAAATAGATCCAAGGAGTATAAAAATCAACTCTTAATCTTGCAAAACATATATATATAACTCAAGAATAACCCCACCTTAAAGCTTGGTGAAGAAATGGAGATGGTGAGAGGGAAGAAACCCTAGAAACCCAAGTTGCCAAAGCTCAAACCCCACCACACAATGTTGTTCTTGCTTGTACACCCAAAATAGAGAAGAATGATGTTCAATCTAAGCCCCAAGATTTGTAAGATCAAAGAGTCTTTAATGCTAGGGATGATTTCTAGAGAGAAGCTGGAGAGAAAATAGGTTTTTGAGTGAGAGAATGAGCCCCAAAATGTGTTATAAGTTCGACCAAAAAAGTAAGAAAAACAGGGTTTTCGAACTGCCCAGGTCCCGCACGTGCGGCACCCATCCCCGCACGTGTAGCGCCTCCCTCCCGCACGTGCGGCGCTTCCCGCACCTGCCTCCCGCTCGTGCCTTTTAGGCAATATGCTGCTCAGCCAAACACACCCCTTCCCGCACGTGCGGCCCTGGGCCCCTGCACGTGCGGCCCTCTGCTTTCCAGCCCGGATTTTCACAACTCGGCTCCCGGACCCTCCGAACTTGCTCTAACGCGCTCCGGAACAGGCGAGATCCAACACTCACAAACAAAACATAAATAAGGGCTTAGATTTGATATCACTATCGGACGTTTCAAACCCAACAGAAGTAAGAGAGGATGAAGCCAAAGAGAAATAAAAGGAATGAAGGAGACCCAGCCATTACAACCTCCCCACCATAGAAAATTTCGTCCCCGAAATTTGAATAAACCCACTAAACAAGAGTGTTCTATCAACAATGGTCAATTCAACAACATTAACAATTTACAACATTCATGTTCAACTAACATTTGGCATTTTCCTTCTCATTTCCTCATCAAGATGCAATTGCTCAAGCTAGAATGAAATGAAACGTCCACCATATGGTATCATGTGTTTTATCCCCATTCTCCAACATAATAATTTCTCATATTAAACATCCGGGATGCAACATTCAAGGAAAAATGTTTTTTTTACACAATATTAAGGTTGGATCAACAACATATACAATAACCCACTATTAACAATCTAACCCCTCTCCCTTCATTACAAGGAAACATTACAAATTAGAGTAAGCAACTAAACATTTTCAAACAAATCCGGATATTTGGAGCGGACTTCCGCCTCCCTCTCCCAAGTCGCTTCTTCAACTCCATGGTGCCTCCACAACACCTTGACTAACGGTATGGTCTTACCCTACAACACTTGCTCCCGGGTATCTAGAATTTGAACCGGTCGCTCCTTATAAGAGGCGTCTTCATCTACTTCCAAATCAACCCAGTCTAACACATGAGAAGGATCGGGCTCGTATTTCCTAAGCATTGACACATGAAACACATTGTGAACCCCTGAAAGTTGTGGCGGTAAGGCTAACCAGTAGGCCACTTCTCCGATTCTCTCCAATATCTCGAAAGGCCCAATGAACCTTGGAGACAACTTCCCGCTTTTGCCAAACCTCATTAAGTCCCGTCTAGGTGAAATCTTAAGAAACACGTGATCACCCACATCAAAGGATAAGGGTCGTCTCCTCTTATCAGCATAACTTTTCTATCGGCTTTGAGCTGTAACCAACCTCTTACGAATGAGAGCAACTTTCTCGGTTGTCTCCCTCACAATCTCCGGACCCAAGAACGGAGCATCTCCTACCTCGGCCCAACAAACGGGTGACCTACAAGGTCGGCCATACAAGGCCTCAAACGGTGCCATCTCAATGCTAGCCTGATAACTATTGTTGTAGGCGAACTCAATCAACGGTAAGTGCCTCTCCCAAGACCCCTTGAAGTCTAGGACACAAGCTCTAAGCATATCTTCCAAAATCTGTATAGTGCGTTCCGATTGCCCATCGGTCTGTGGGTGGTAGGCGGTACTAAAGGTTAACTTGGTCCCCAATGCCTCTTGAAGGCTTTGCCACAACCAAGCGGTAAAACGAGGATCCCTATCTAACACAATGGTGACCGGCACCCCATGAAGCCGAACTATCTCCCTAACATACAACTCTGCCAAGTGCTCAACTGAGTCGCTACTTCACATAGGAATGAAGTGTGTGGAATTGGTCAATCTATCAATAATTACCCAAATGGCATCATTGCCCCGTTGCGTTCTAGGAAGCCCAACTACAAAGTCCATGGTCACGTGCTCCCATTTCCACTCGGCTATAGGTAAGGGTTGTAGCAAACCCGCTGGTCTCTGGTGCTCGGCCTTGACTTGCTGACAAGTAAGGCACTTGGACACAAAGGACGCGACATCCCGCTTCATACCCCACCACCAAAACTGACGGCTAAGGTCACGATACATTTTGGTGCCTCCCGGGTGTACCGCAAGGCGTGAATGATGGAATTCCCCCAGCACCTCCTCTCTATGAGATTCAGACACAAATAAACGGTCTAGGTAGCGCATACTCTGATCCGAGTGAATATTCAAACCCTTCTCTTCCTTCCCATTAGAGATCCTATCCCGAATTAACTCTACTTCCCGATCCCCTTGTTGTGCTTCTATAACTTTGCTAATCAAAACAGGTTGAGCACTCAAACTAAACAATGTTGCACCCCCTTCGGACCCACTCAATTTCAATTCAAACTCGCCGACTTCACCCAACATACTCCATTCCCGAATGGCCACACTTGTCAAACTACTCACGGTTTTTCGACTTAAGGCGTCGGCCACTACATTGGCCTTCCCTGGGTGATAGTGTAACTCAAAATCATAGTCTTCTAAAAATTCCATCCATCTACGTTGTCTTAGATTCAAGTCTTTCTAGGAAAACAAATATTTCAAGCTCTTATGGTCAGAGAAAACCTCAAATTTCTCACCATAAAAGTAATGCCTCCAAATCTTCAAGGCAAACACTACTGCGGCTAGTTCTACGTCATGGGTAGGGTAATTCTTCTCATGGGTTTTTAACTGTCGAGAGCCATACGCTACAACCTTTCCCTCTTGCATCAAAACACAACCAAGCCCATCCCGAGATGCATCACAAAAGACGGTATACCCCAACCCTCTCGCTGGAATGATCAACACCGGTGCCGTGGTCAACCTAGTCTTTAGCTCCTGAAAAGCCTTTTCACAAGTTTCACTCCATGCAAACTTAACCCCCTTTCTAGTCAATATAGTCAAAGGCGCGGCTAGTCTAGAGAAATCTCTCACAAATAGGCGATAGTACCCTGCGCATCCCAAGAAACTCCGAATCTCAAAGACGTTCTTAGGCTACTCCCAATCTTGCACAGAATCTACCTTCGAAGAGTCTACGGTTACCCCTTCACTTGACACCACATGGCCCATAAACTTCACCTTGGTGAGCCAAAACTCACACTTTTCAAATTTGGCATACAACTGATGCTCCCTAAGCAAGTCAAGCACTATCCTCAAGTGAATCTCATGTTCCTCCTCGAAGATCGAATAGATAAGGATGTTATCCACGAAGACGACCACAAAACGATCCAAGTACTCCCTAAAAATCCGATTCATCAAGTCCATGAAAGAAGTCGGTGCGTTAGTCAACCCGAAGGGTATTACTAGGAACTCCTAGTGGCCATAACGCATACGAAAGGCCATTTTCTGGATGTCCTCCTCCCGAACTCTCATCTCGACCTCAAGTCTATCTTCGAAAAGCAACAAGACCCTCTAAGCTGATCGAACAAGTCATCTATCCTGGGTAAAGGGTATTTGTTCTTAACAGTGACTCGGTTCAACTCACGGTAATCAATAACCGTAATGACCCATCCTTCTTCTTCGCAAAGAGGGTCGGCACTCCCCAAGGTGACGTACTAGGACGTATGAAGCCCTTATCTAAAAGCTCTTGGAGTTGGATCTTCAACGCATGCAACTCCGCGGGTGAAAATCTATACGGCGCCATAGAAATAGGTACCGTTCCAGCCACTAAGTCGATAGTGAACTCAATCTCCCAGTGGGGTGGCAAACTGATAAGGTCTTCGGGAAACACCTCCGGGTACTCACACACCACCCTTGGCAACTCAACTCGAGTCCCGACACTCTCACTATTCAAGAGAGTAGCTAGAAGGCCGCTAAGCTCGCTCCTACTACGAGGATCAAACACCGGTGACAAGACCCGATCAACCCTATCCCCCAAAAAATAAAAACAATCGCTACCTGAAGTGCACATTGAGACTCTTTGCCGAAAGCAATCAATCACTGCCCGATACGAAGACAACCAATCCATGCCTAGAATAACGTCGAAACTGGACATGTCTAACAACACAAAAGCAAACGGGAGTCTACGCCTGGTAACCTCTATCTCACAATCACGACATCCCTAATCTAAGTCAACTGTACCCCCAACTGGTGACTCAACTCTGAGTGGAGACACTAACTGTGCCACCTCTAACCCCAATGCGGATGCAAATGTTGTAGATATGAATGAATGCAGCGCAGCCGTATCTATCAACACATTGGCCAATGAATTACACACAATAAATATACCTCTCACAACCGAAGGTCCTGGCATCTGCTCTGGCGTTGTAACAGCATACAGGCGTCCCTGAGGCCTCTGGTCAACCTGCTCGTCCCTCGGAGCATAAGCTTGCCGAACTAACTGAGCCGAAGCGACTCCCTGGTGGACTCTCAAAGTCTGGACTTAATGGGTCTGCTGATGACTCTGGGTCTGCCTCGACCCGGATGCGCCAGATGCGCCTCCCAACTGTGGGCAAGCTCTCTTCATGTGCCCTGACTGATCGCACTGGAAACCAGTAGGCCCTTGCCCCCTACTCTAAGACTGAGACTGGTTTTGAGATCGGTTAGGTGGTGGTGGTGGCAACATCTGCTGTCCCTCTCCCTTCTGCGGACATGCAAAGGCCTGGTGACCCAGTTGGCCACATTTGAAGCAAGAGAACCCATTCGATGCACTCTTCCCCGAGCCCACACTAGGAAAGGGGAAAAAGAATCTAGACTGCTGCAGCTGGGATTGGGATATGAAAGTGCTCCTGCTCTTCTTATTAAACCTAAAGTCCCCCTGTGACCCTTGGCCCCTAGACCTCGAATTCCGAAGTCTCGCCTTCTCGGCCTCCACTATAATCTCCACATGTGCGGCGGCCTCCACAAGGCGATCATACTCTCGAATCATGTTCTTGGAAACCTTGAACAAAATCTTTGTCCTCAACCTCTGCTCGAACTCAAAGCAATGGTGCTCTTCCGTCGCTACCAACTCCGGTGCAAACTGGGACAAGCTAGAAAAGGCCGCTTCATACTCGGCCATCGACATATTCAATTGCAAAAGGTCCTTGAATTTCTGCCTCAACCTCTCCCTAGCCGTGGGAGGTAGGTACTTGTCTTGGAAGGCCGTCAAAAATGCCTCCCATGTCAGTGCTACCCGGCCCTTTGCATACTTCCACCATTGGCCGGCGTCACCTTTGAGGTAATAGCTTGCAAGGGTTACCCTTAACTCGTCGTCATCGATATGGAGCATATCAAAGGCCTTCACAGTTTGCTCCAACCATTCATCCGCCTTCTTTGGATCGAGCCCACCATGGAATTCATCCGGCTTGGCCCTTAAGAACTCCCTCGTGAGGAAGCTAGCTCTAGTCTCTGCAACATTCTCCCTTGCTTGGGTCTCTGCCCTCAGAATATTCATGGACTCCCTCAATGCCCCTACCATCTCCAGGGCTAGAGCCCCCATTACGGCTTGGCCTGCTTGTCCCGACACCTCCGCTTGCCCCACTTGTTCAGCCATGTCAGCTTGGCCTAAACCCTCTTCTTGTACCGGGACCCCTTGGACCGGCACCTCAAACACACCCCAGCGACCTCGACCTCGCCTTCCACCCCTACCACCTCGAGTCCGAGCTCTTCCTGACATCCTAATTGAGAGACAAAATAGATAATTTAGCACGTAATTCCAAATGTGCTCACAACTTGCCTCACACGTTAAACTATAATAATTACATGCATATATCACACAAACAATTTAATTCACCCCACATAAGCATTTAGTCACATAAACACATACGAATTATCCTTTAGTGATGAGATTCGTCCCACGAAAAATCAAGAATTCTTAGTAGAATGAGTATTGATCAAGTACCCTTCTAATAAGACCTCTAGGAATCTAATAGGCGCGAATAACATCCCAAAAGGCTAATCCCATACCCACGTAGTCACATAAACATGCCATCACATAATCACAAAAACAAAATATTTCATAGTCATGCGAAATGAACCCAATATGGTGTAACGACCACTTCCCACGAGCCCTACGTATTCAAACCCGGTAGCTCTGATACCAAGTTGTAACGCCCCAAAAATAATTTAACATGAACTACCCACAAGTGATCAATATTCACTCAACAATAACAATAATCTGCCCATCTTTACATAATTAAATTAGAGTCCTTACAAAGGTTTTACATGCAGGTATACATTCATCGATACAAAGCATATGAATCTATAGCATGTAAACATCCATTCTCAAAACAATACAATGCCCTTAAGGGCTTACATCTTCCAAGGCATAGGCCTGGCTACACAAAAGTGGTCACTCGGATCCAAACCCAAAATAGCCTTTGGCTTTACAATTAATCACAACAAAATAAGAGGGCACCACTCTTCTCAAAATACGTCCACGCCCTCAATTTGGCGGGATCGCCACATCTTTACCTGCACCAAAACCCATAGGGGTGAGCATATAGCCCAGTAGAGTATTCTCACAAAGTATATACAGTTATGCTTTTTCCTCAACACAAAGTAAATGCAATTGCAATGCCATGCCAAGGTTAATCAATGAGGAAAAAGATTCATTTCAATGTATTTGTCTTCAAAATCACCATGCTTTTAGTATTATCATGTAATTTCATCAATTTCTAGCTTCCAATATTAATTCCACAAGGACGGTAAATACGACACTGGTAATCCCCTAGGCTGGTGTCTGCAAGTATGCTCAACAAGCACTACCAAACTGTCATTTTTACCGGTGCTAACCGGAAGGCTCGACACCTATCCGCGCTTAACAAAACTCAACCACACCCCCTATTCGGACTTACCACGTATTTACCCCATTCACATATCTATAGTTCTCGTCATTTTATGGTCTTTCTCAAAATGATCATTTTCCAAATTTTCTTCAAGATGTATAATGATGATGTTAGACCAAATGAGAACATGATGCAAAACATAGTATGCCATAATATTTCTTTGCTTCAACATTTCTATGACAACATCAATTAATCCCCACGTGCGAACAATTCATAACAACAACAACTCACCATGCATAGCCCCTTCAAGGCAAAACAATGTATTTCAACATAACTCAAGATTTTTACCAAATCCATATTTATGATACAAGGTCATTTATCATCTCTAACAACATATGTTCAACATTGTTAACAATCATGCTATAAAAACATCTGATTCATCTACATAATACAAAATAATAAAGAATTTCACAAGTGTTCTCACATTTTCTTAAAATCCCCAATTTCTAGGGTTCCATCAAAAACCCAAACAACTCCCATTTTATGATGAAAGTTTATCAAAACCTACTTTAAGAGGACATAAATACAAGATCTTAAAGGTAAACAAAATAACCTTTGAGTCCTTAAACTTCCCTTTGAGAAATTCCATCATTTTGAATCCAAAAACCAAAATTTTGAAATAGATCCAAGGAGTATAAAAATCAACTCTTAATCTTGTAAAACATATATATATATAACTCAAGAATAACCCTACCTTAAAGCTTGGTGAAGAAATGGAGATGGTGAGAGGGAAGAAACCCTAGAAACCCAAGTTGCCAAAGCTCTAACCCCACCACACAATGTTGCTCTTGCTTGTACACCCAAAATAGAGAAGAATGATGTTCAATCTAAGCCCCAAGATTTGTAAGATCAAAGAGTCTTTAATGGTAGGGATGATTTCTAGAGAGAAGCTGGAGAGAAAATAGGTTTTTGAATGAGAGAATGAGCCCCAAAATGTGTTATAAGTTCGACCAAAAAAGTAAGAAAAACAGGGTTTTCGAACTGCCCAGGTCCCGCACGTGCGGCACCCATCCCCGCACGTGCGGCGTGTCCCTCCCGCACGTGCGGCACTCCCTCCCCGCACGTGCGGCGCTTCCCGCACCTGCCTCCCGCTCGTGCCTTTTAGGTAATATGCTGCTCAGCCAAACACACCCCTCCCCACACGTGTGGCCCTGGGCCCCCGCACGTGCGGCCTTCTGCTTTCCAGCCCGGATTTTCATAACTCGGCTCCCGGACCCTCCGAACTTGTTCTAACGTGCTCCGGAACAAGCGAGATCCAACACTCACAAACAAAACATAAATAAGGGCTTAGATTTGATATCACTATCGGACGTTTCAAACCCAACGGAAGTAAGAGAGGACGAAGCCAAAGAGAAATAAAAAGAATGATGGAGACCCGGCAATTACATCAAGTATATTGCTATTTATGTTAAACATTAGGTGGAACTTACTCTCATACATCCTCTTAATACAGGAAAGTAAATAATTTTAAGACATTTTCATTATTTTGCAAAATTCCCAATGTTTAGGGTTTTTATTTGAGAACAAACTTGCCTCATTTTCTAAGAGAAAGTCCACCAAACCATTCATCATGAGTTTAATAGAGGAAAACCCCAAAAAAGTATAGTAAAAGATTGAGCTACAAACTCTCTTTCAAAACCCTCTCTACATTTTTGAAGAAAAATCAAAATCAACACAAAATCTCAAGAACACTTTTAAAATCAAAATCACTATGGCAAAACTTGTATATATGACTCAAGAAATCCCTACCGCAAGGTTTTGATGAAGAAGATGATGAAACCCTAGCTTCAATGGAGGATTCTTCAATGTTCCACAACCCCAAGAGGAATCCCAACTTGGATCTTCAACATTGGTAAGAAATGTTGGTGATTTAGACCCAAAATTTACAAGAATCAAAGTGTTTTAGGGCTTTGGTGAGAGTTTCTAGAGAGAAGGGAGAGTAAATGTGCTTTTAGAGAGAGAGAGAAGTGTAAAAAAAAATGAGATAGAATCAGCCCTAAAAGAGGAGAGAAAACATAGTCCCGAATTTGCCCAAATTGCCGCACGTGCGGCGCCCATCCCCGCACGTGCGGAGCACCTTCTCGCACGTGCGGCCTTCATCCCTGCATATGCGGGGCTCTTCCCACACCCCCTTCTGCACGTGCCTTTTAGGCAGAATGCAAGTCACCAAAATCCCCTCTTCTCGCACATGCGGCTTGGCCTCCCACACGTGCGGCCCAATCCCGCACGTGCAACCCTGGCCCAGCAGCCCAGAGAAAGTTCCGTTTCGCTCCCAGGCACTCTGGACCTAACCTCGCACCTCCCGAGACCAGTGGAGTTCAACACCGACAAATAAAACAAGAACGAGAGCTTTAATTGGAAATGACTCTCGAATGTTTCAAACCCAACGGAAACAAAAGAGGACGAAACCAAAGAGAAAGAAAAAGAAAATGAGGAAGAGATCCGGCCGTCATACTTATGATGACCTCTACACTAGACTAGATAGTAAGGAGGGAGAGAAGAGGATATACAAACTCGCTAAGATACGAGAGAGGAAAATAAGAAATTTTAATCAAGTTAAGTGCATAAAGAGTGAGGATTCTAAGGTATTGGTGAAGGATGAAGAGATTAAGGAAAGATGGAAGAACTATTTTGAGAAACTATTAAATGAGGAACATAGAGGTACGGCAATAGGGGAAGAAATAGCCAGTAATACGATAAACCAAGACTATAGGTTTTATCGCAAGATTAGCAAATTTGAAGTGGAGATTGCACATAAGAAGATGAAATCAAATAAGGCTTTGGGACCTGATGATATCCCTATTGAAGCTTTGAAGTGTTTGGGTAAAAAGGGGGTTGCTTGGTTGACTAGTTTGTTTAGCAAAATTTTGTTGCCTAGGAACATGCCAGATGAGTGGAGGAAGAGTATTTTAGTGCCAATCTATAAGAATAAAGGAGATGTCTAGAATTGCAACAACTATAGAGGAATCAAACTAATGTATCATATAATGAAAGTGTGGGAGAGGGTAATGGAACGTCGATTGCGAGATATAACAGAGGTGTCAGATAATCAATTTGGGTTTATGCCTGGCAGGTCAACAATGGAAGCGGTCTAAATTTTGAGGAGAGTAATAGAAAAGTATACAGAAAAGAAAAGAGACATTCATATGGTCTTTATCGATCTTGAGAAAGCATATGATAGGGTGCTCCAGGATATAATATAGTGGGTGTTAGAGAAGAAAGGGGTGACAAAAGGTTGCATTGATGTGATTAGGGACATGTATGAAAGGGTGGTAACCACTATTAGATCACCTGCTAGAGAGAAATGAATTTCCTATCACTGTAAGGTTACACCAAGAATCTACTTTAAGTCCTTATTTTTTTTGCTTTAGTTATGGATGAGTTGACGAGAAATATTCACAATGGCGTGCCATGATGTATGCTTTTTGCGGATGATATCGTGCTAGTGGATGAGACTGGAGAAGGAGTTAACACAAAGTTGGAGATTTGGAGAAAAGCTCTTGAATCTAAGGGATTCCGAATAAACAGAACTAAGACAAAGTACATGGAGTGTAAATTTAGTAACAATAACAATGAAAGCAGAGGAGAAGTAAAGAATGAGAACCAAGAACTACCTAAGAGTAAATATTTTCGTTATTTAGGGTCGATTATCACAACAGCGGGGGAGATTGATGTGGCCCATAGGATTAAGACGGGACGGTGTAAG